ATATTATACCTTTTAGTTCAATATAGTTTACCAATTGCTAGCACTCATGCCGATATTTTTTTAATTTTAGGTGCCTTGAAATATACTATTTTGTTTTCTTACTACAGTTTCATTCTCTAGCTAATTATGAATATTTCTACCTTCATAGGAAAATCTTGAGAAAAACATGTTTAATTATTTGTATCACATACCTAATGAAATAACTAAACTCTAACGCTTTTAGGATTAGTCTCTCACCATGGAAAACCTACTAAATACTATTAAATTCGTATATATATCACATAAAATTAATTCCACGTTTTATGAAAGACTTTAAAAGCATGCGTTCAGATACGAAGGTTTTTAAAAATTATATGAAAATATCTGAATATGCAGGAAATAATAACTTAAAAATGCCAATGCAAAATCAAGTAAAATAGTAGAATCAGTTATGGTAATAATACTACAGAATGATAAATTGTAGAATTGTCAAATTAAAATAGTACTATAAAATATAGACTAAGTAAGGGTTATTCGACGAATTGAATATGAATAGTAGTTAAAGATTATAAAATAAAATGCTTAAAAAGTCTCGCTTCTATGTATGTTTAAGAAGTTTAAACATGTAAAATTATGTGAAATAATTTGCAAAATTATGTAAAATGGTAAAAAAAATATGTGTTGTAAACAGAAAATATGATAAATATGTTAAAATTAATGGTACAAATGAACCAAAAGGCAAAAAATGTTGGAAAATACATCGAAAATTTAATGCAATTTATGCAAATAATGTAAAAATAAAGTAAAACTTAGAGTATGATGAAAATTGCGAAGGTTAAAATTTATGAAACAAATTCGAAATTATAGTATTTTCGAAATTAGGAAGGCTCAAAATGAGCGAAACAAAGTTAGAAATTATATCTAAAATTAAACAAAGCTCATATACATGGTCAGAAAATAGAGGAATTAAGCTAAAATTAAGAATACATTTGAAATTACCAAGGTTAAACGTCTGAAAGTGGTTAAAAATTAGATGAAAGCAATGTACATAGTGTGAAAATATACCAAATTAGTTATGTGTGTGTGTGTGTATTTAATTATGGCAAAGCACACTAGGGCTATCTGCCTAAGGGGACGGATGCCTTTCATGGAGGACTTTCTAAGGGAAACTGGCTCGTATACACGTTACACATGGGGAAAACCACGTAAACGCCCATGCAGCCAGCCCGTTCGCGGGATTCGAACCTCGGACCGAACTACCAGTGTTCAGCGACTTTACCGCTCGGTCGCTGGTGGGCCAAATTAGTTAAAATGCAGAGTATGTTGGAAACTAAAAACGCTAAAAAATGGGAAGAAGTTAAAATTTACATCTAAAATTTAATAAAAGTTAGGTATATGGTTGGAAAATATAATGAACAAGTTTAAAATCAGAGTACTTTAAAAATTATGAAGGTTTAAAATGTGTGAAACAAGTTAAAAATTACATCTAAGCTTAAATAGCGTTCATATATTTGGTCAGAAAATATAGGAATTAAGCTAAACTTAAGAGCCCGTTTGAAATTACGAAGGTTAAAACGTATGAAAGTAGCTATAAATTAAGTAAAATTCATGTACATTGTGTCAAAATATAGCAAACTAGTTAAAATTCTAAGTATGTTGGGAACTATAAACGTCAAAAAATAGAAAGAAGTTAAAATTTCTATCTAAAATTAAGTAAAAGTCAGGTATATGATCCGAAAATGTAATAAACAAGTTCAAAATTTGAACATTTTAAAAATTACGAAGTTTTGAAATGTACAAAACTAGTTGAAAATAGCATCTAAAATTAAGACCTTCTGAATCAATTATTAGATTTGAAAATAATTATTGTTTAGGGTATCTAGGAAACAACCATATCACACGTAGTAAAATAGTTGGAATACGAAGAAAAAATACAAAGGCTAAACATCGATTAACAAAAACCTGCGAAAAATCAATCAAAGATAATCTCTTATCAATGTGTGACGTCATCTTATCCTAAATGAAGAATACTGAAACATTCTTTCTTATCTGTGCCTCCGTGTTCGGCCTTGCTCAGTGCTCCGCCTGCAGGCTTGTTGCGCATTGCGCCTCCTGGCGCTGAACCGTTACTTTCACACTACTGCTATTATAAGGTATTTCTCCCGCCTTCTTACCATGCCTTCGTAGTGAACACACTCGGTCAGCACACTCGGCGCGTACTGGAAAAGTCCGAGGTTAGAGTCCAAGCGAGGGATTGCTCATTTTTCATGTGCCCCGCATTGAAATAACCTAATGTCTCTACACTATACTCTCGCCATAGTCTACAAAATTAGAATTCCGTTTCGACCTGCAGTTTTCAACTTTGGAACGGCATCATATCATATGGCCAAATATGTAGTTTCCAACTTTTGTCTTACTTTCTAACAATATTCGCAGCGTAGAACATTCTTTTGAACTTAAAAATTTTTCTTCCTTGCGCTGCATTAATTTATCTGTTGATGTTAAATCACTGTTTACTAATGTTTCAGTCAAAGGCGCGCTAAAGCGTCTTAAAACTATTCTTTGAGAATTCCATTTCACACATACTGAAATTAAAGAGTTAATACCTCTTACTAAAATTTCTTTGAATCAAACACACTTTGCTTTCCAAAATAAATATTATCGCCAAATTGAAGGATTAGCTATGGGTAATTCCTTCTTCTATACTTGCTGATATTTGCATGCACTATTTTGAAGTCAAATTATTTGAGAAACTCTATTTCCGTCTATGTATTCGCTATGTAGACGACACGTTCGCCCTTTTTGATGGTAATAAAGAAGATTTATCCCAGATTTTATCTATTATAAATTTGATTGATCCAGCCATCCAATTTACTTATGAAACTGAATCTGACAATACTGCTCCCTTCCTAGATATTGCTACGAAATGTACAGGCGCGGTGGGATGGCTTCCCCACAAAGCAATTTTATGGTTGCCATAAAATGCCAAAATAATGCAGGATTGCCATATTTGGCGAGAAATCGCCCATTTGGCGACATTTAGCGAAAAATTGGCGATATGCCATGGACGGATGGAGAACCTTCTGGAACGAATTCTTACCGGTTTAGCCCAGAATGTTCTCGAACACAAGCCGAAAGCTATATAAACCCTGCTGGTCCGCAGTTAGTTAGCGAGTGCTTCGCCTAGCGAGCTGATAGAGAGTGTGTGCCTCGTCTAGCGAGCTGATAGTCAGTCATTAAGCGAGTGTCTCGAAGTCTAGCGCCGAGTTGGTCGTCGAGTGCATCGATACAGCCTTTTAGTGTATCGCGAGTTAGTGCATCGCCGAGTTTTGTCTTAAACTGTGCTGAGTCGAAAGCTATACTCTTTGTGTATCTTCGAGTGCATTGCGAGTTGTAGCGTGGAGAGTCTAGAGAGTACGTGGAGTTCCGAGAACGACTGAGCAGAGCCAGGAGCTGTACTCTGGTGCTTTGCAGTGAAGCTGTCTCTACCGTGATAGTTTGATAACCTGAAAGCTGTGTCGCTTATCGTGTCAGTGTGTTTATAACAGTTCGACGACTATAAACGAGATTTTGGAGTTTTCCTGATTAAGTACTGGCCAATAAAGTGTGTTTCGATACTTCATTAAGTGTCGTCGTTATTCACTCCAAATCCAAACGAACCCCGTACGAACGTGAAGGAAGAAAATAACGTAACAACTGGTGTCAGGAAAGAAAAACAAAACAATATTCTCATAATTCGCAACGAATCTGATTTCAGCAATACTGTTTACCGTAAATACTTTTCTGTTTGTTTACCGCTCCATGCTAGGTCAGGTAACCTGGATAAGCAAAAACTGGCTTCTTTTCTACTATTATGTATTTCGCGCTCTCAAATTTTGTTCCTCAGAATCTCTGCTTGCTAATGAATTCAATTACTTAAGACAAGTTGCCACTGGTGAGGGTTTTCTCACCAGCGGCAACCTAACTTAAGTAACCGCTGATGAGAAGAAGTACTCACTACTGTAACCACTGTACTCACCACTTATGAGGAGAAAATCCTCATCAGTAGCAACTTACCTTAAATCATCATCCCTCATAATGACTATATTACTCATTGATAAAGCCTTTAAAAAGTTTTCAGCTTACAATCAAAGAAGACATTCCACTATTAAAAATAAAATTAATAACCTAGTCGTGCATCTATTTCATCCTTCTGTCAGCTACAAAATTGCACGGATTCTCTAGAAGCTCAGCTATTAATTGATTTTCTCGCCTATAAATAAAATCCATGATTCAATTCTTAATAATTCCATTTCTGACTTTAATTCTTGGGGAATTTTTGGGATATCGTGGCAGTGGGGTTTGAGATATACTGTGCAAACTAAAAGAGCGTTAAAGTTTCATATAAAGGAACACTAGTCGTACGTCCGAAAAAGCAAAATTAACATGTCTTCGATAGCTAATCATAGTTGGAAAGTGAATCATAATTTTAACTTTGTGTCTGCAAAAAATATTCAAAAAGCTTCTTCAATTGGTGAACTGAGTATTTTGAAGCTTTTTACATTCTCAAACATTTATCTTGCTTAGGTAATGTCTTAAGTACAATCCAGTCCTTCCTAACACTTTTAAAATTTTGTAAATTTAATTTTTCAATTTCGTTACTATTTTTACTGACAGATGACTATACCTCCTTGCTTTTTTACTGGCGTAGAGTGTAAATATAACCACTGCGTAAACTGTTTTACAGTCTTGCGGATTTCTTTGTTCCTGGTAAAGAAAACCTGCCCTCGAAATCTATTAAGTTATTAACTAATTCTACGCCAAACACTAGGTTATTGCTTTTATAATTTCATTTATATTTCGTCAGAGTTACTTTGTTTTCAAAAGTAAATTAATGAGTTTTAATAATGTAATTTTATTTGTAAAACTCAATTAATAAGTTTTAATCATGTAAACGCAAATTAATGAATTTTAATGATGTAATAAATTTTAAAATTTTACATGGAATATATATCATTCAAACTTCAATCAGCAACACTCACCCGCTTTTTGCAAAATTTGTCCACAGCTGAATTAAGATGTCCGATACTTCTTTATCTTGGGGAAGTCTTAGAGCATTGTCTAAGTCCATATGTGGAAAACCAAAAATGTAATACAGTTCACTTTCGTGATATGAACCTATGGAAATTAATGCATATTAGTGCAGTTCTTACAGACAGTGCTTCAGAATGTGACATTTTTCATAAAAAGTATTGCCGAAAATAAAAGAAAAACAGAGTTGTTAGACCTCTTTTTCAAAGAATAGTTAATGAAGTAAACAAACGAAAAAAAAAAAAAAAAAAAAAAAAAAAGAAACACTGCTAAAGTCTATTATTATCATTCAGAAGCTTTCGTTTTTAGAGAAACAGTAAACACAACTTTATGCATGTTAAAACATACCGGGCAACACATACCCTACATTCAATATTTTAGAGAAAATTTTTATAAGGCAACTTTAATCGATATGTGAAAAATGTTATTTACTTTCGAAGAATCAAAAGACACAAATTTTCCTCAGCCATCTTGCCATTCCTGGAAGTACTAGAAAATGCCACTTCTGGTATTTGTCATATGCTGGCCGTCGCGCTCTTCGTAAGAAAAATCAGATGTGACAAGAAAAGTGTGATAGAACTGTAATAAAGTAAGTGTTCACATCACAACATAAGGCTATTTTTAATTGAAATGGTTGTCAGTGTTATGAACATTAAAAGCTATTCTCGTCCCTGTCCCAACACAATCTGGACTATCCTGGATTAGCGTATATGCGTATATTGTCATTACACGCATTTCTCCCATGGAGACTATGATAACGTCTTTTAACGATCAAAATCAATTACTGCACATTTCATTACGCGACATGATCTTTCGAGGACTCTTCGAACATAAAGTTATTTTCAAAGATTAGACGATTTCATAGCCATTATTAATTATTCCCTAAATCTGTTAAGTCAGTTTTAAATCATCAAAAGTTATTTCTAATATATCTTCATATTTGATTTTAGTATTTAAGTCAACGTTTACTATTCCAGTAGAAACACTGAAGCTTGATAACTAGACATAAACACAAAAGCAAATTTTCAGGCTTTTAGAGAAACAGTAAAACAGTAAAATTAGGTTGTAAAATGCAAAATAGTTGAAAAAACCTATTTTAAACGTGGTTTTTTATATTTTATTTAAAAATAATTTGTAATTTCGATTCATAAAAGAACTCTAAAAGAAGTACTGATTGCTTCATTATAAACTGACAGCACATATTAAAAGTTGTACTTAATTTTTATCTTACTTCCTTATTTTGCTAGTTCATCATAGTTTTCCGTCATTAATTCTAAATTTCTGAAGAGAGATTTATATTTGAGTTTTAAAAGATTAAAACTATTAATAGTTATATATCAATGCAGCTTCATTTCGCCTCTAGCTTCATCCTGAATTTACTCATTAGTATGAGTAGATTGATTCAACGCCTTTTCAGAAATAATAGCTACTGATTTTTCCTTATTTCAAGCACTTAATTAAATTTGAAAAAAAAAAAAAAAAAAAAAAAAAAAGAAGTTGAGCTAGATATAATATTAAATTGATGGATATGATTAGAAAGCTTAGCATGGAGTTAAAAAAATTAACAAAACTACAAATATATAATAATGATAAAATTAAAAAAAGTATCGTGAGTAAATGATTAACTCCTTATCTCACATTGCTGACTCAGAACTGGCCGCCGCCAACGATTGGTTTGCAACTTCTTCCGCAGAGATACGGGCTATGCAGTGATAACATAGTTCAGTTCTTGTGTTACACAGCAGTTGATTTAAAATGATACATGATAGAATGCTGAAGAATAGATCAAAGATTGCAGAATTTGAGTTTGATTTCATGTGAGTTTGAAAGCATTGTATGCTCTAAAACATTCTAGACTATTTTCGACTATTACAGTGTAAAAAGAATTGACAGGGGCGTAAATGGAAGGTAGATTTGTCGTTAAGACATTTTTCAAGCCTGTGATAAAATAGGGCATCAGTTATGCAAGTAATCTTTCAACGCAACATTTGTGAGGATTTATCTGTTTATTTTTGCCTAATAGTTAATTCGGAGTTAAAGTAACTTTTCTGTTGCTATTCTTCTCACCAGGTTTCATGCCAGAATGTAAATAAGATAGCACGCGTTTATTCAAATTGAGGGTCAAAGAAGTGCTATTTAAGCGAGCGAATCTTTCGCAAGTTGATTTTAGAGCGTGTTCTGCCTTCCTGAGGCCACGTTGTTACCGTGACTAAATAGAGATTTGATTCTGTGGCGTTGAGTGCTTCTAGCCATTAGCAATGTCAATCTTGTCTCACCGGTTTTCTACAAATCAGAGCTTTCCTGCGCGTTACTTTATCTTGTGAGCCGTTAGGTTAATCTAACTATACTTCATTTTAGTTCAGCATTACTTGTTTAAGTCAAGCCAGAAATGTTGGCTTCTAGAAACCAAGATGGGTCATTATTACTTCTTTGTGTAAGCGCTATTTACACCATCCTTTTGATTTTGTCGGTCCGCAGTTTTAAGACAGAATTATTCCTCTATAGTCGTTTTAGAGCTCACGAGTTTATGCTACTAAAGTGAGTCTCTATACATTAATTTTGTGCGTACTTAGGTTCCTATTTTTATTGAGCTAAATCATTAACTAAAAATAGAATTAAAATAAAGAAGGATCTTATAGAATTCTATAATATTACACAGAAATAATTTTTTGGATACTTTTTTATAGTTCTGGTTCAGAATTTTATTATTTATGCTCCCTTGCTTTATAGTTTTTTAATTTAACCTTTGATAAAGTATCAATTCTAATAAACTAGCATTATACTTTATTAACATCAGTGTGAGTCAATGACTTTCCCATCATATCTCATTTCTCGGCCTATATCCTAAAGCAAGTGTTCTGTGCCGTAATTAGATGGTCAAGCAATTCGAATAGCGATTCAAAACATTCATCAGTTATGTCAAATTAATATTTTCGAAAGCATTAAATTTTAGCTTGTTGAACAATTAAATTTTACTATCTGTAATTTGAGGAAAATTTCATAAAGAAGCCTGTAAGCTAAAAAATGATGAATTCAATGAAAAAGCGAAATTAAACTGAAATTGAGATTGTCTGAATTTCAGTACAGCTTCGAACCTGTTCTTCTTTGAAACAACAGCTGCAGTTTCTTTTGGTTTTAGGAAGAATTCTTAATTCATTTCAAGTAAGAAGTCATATCCACTAAAAGTATTTCGAACAGTTTTCTCCATCTGTTCTCGTTTTGCTCACAGGACGCGGGCAGCATCCATAATGCCAAGGGTCACATATGAGCAAATAGAGGGTCATGGCCTGTGTTCAAGGTGAAATCATTGCTGAACTATGTAAAAAATTCTGGATCGATTTGTCCCTGATGTTTGCATGATTCAGTAACAACATCCAGATAAGTTTCCATTTTTAGGTATTATTATGATCTGCACTAACACCCTTTGGACAGAATGTTTATTAATTTTATTCTTAAAAATCTAAGAGGTTCAAAAAAGTAGCTTGTAAGATCTGTTTTTCTGAGCATCTACCTTAATTAAATAGCTAACATATCAATGTAATTTTTAATAAAGTACACATACATTTAGGAATCACTTCTTTGCCAAAATACTAAAATAGGTTTATTTAATTGATATTACACAGTCGAAAAACATAATATGAAGGCTAAAATATAGTTAGTTTTCCCCAATGAATATTTGGAATCAAACCAAGGTCTCCTTTTAGTCCCAATTATAAATATCCAGTTTGGTTCCAATCCAGCTGAATTGATGAATAATCCATTTTAGTTCCATAAAGGGTAAAAAGAACTTTCCGTTAGATATTTTATACTTAGTAGCTTTAATACTAAAATTTATTTTAATATTTCAAGTTATTGAAACAAAATATTTTCAACTAAACAGTTAATAACGGTAGAAACTTAATATTTTTTCGAACTATATTATTCGCTTACATCAAATTTATTAGTTTATTGCTGGGAAATCACTTAAAAGTTAGATATTAAATTATTCTAAACAAATTAATCTTAATAAAAGTTTCTTAGTTCATCACTACTAATTATAGGACGCAAATAGTTTTTCAAACTGTCTTTAAACTTTAATTTTTAAGTTGCCGGTACAGTAGTATAACAGCATGAAAACTAATTTGTAGCAAGCCTTATCGCATGGAAATTGTTTAACAGATCCGACGAAAACGAAAAAGTTCCACACCAAAATGTTTATGATAAATTTGAATTAGTATGAATCAGTGCATTATCATTTAATAATAAAAATTTAGTTCAGTCTTCAATAAATAGTTTTACCGTTAGATATTATTTGAGCGTATCACTTACTTGTTTAAATGACAGTTTTATGAAATTCAGTCTTCTTATATATTCAAATTACAGCATTTCATTGCATCATATCTCTATCATGTGAATTCATCACTCAAGTTGTAAGTTTTGCTTCCTTTCTGCGTGCCTTCGTGGTGTAATTGGAGAGCACGTCTGGTTAGCTCTCGCAAAGCTCGTTGTCCCGGCGAGGGCATAACTAATTTTTCACTTTTTCAGCTGAAAAATTTGAAATGACTGTACGAGTGGCGCTCGAATTAACTTGTGGTGGGCGATAATTCCTCGCAACGAAGAATAGTGATTGGTTCGCCGCCTCCCCAGCAAAGAACGTGAATGTAAACAAGAAAAGCTTCTTTAGACGTAATGTAAACTAGTTTGACTACTGCGCCGTAATATAGAGAAGGGACAAATTCTCATCGCCAAATCGCCAAGTGTACAGGAAACTGAAGAATATGGTGAAAAATTTAAGGACTTAGAGGATTCGTTCTTTGACAAGACGTTTCGAGATAATTTAAACTCGGAATTCTTGGATTTTGTTAATCAAAATAAATAATAAATTAATTAATCTACTTGTGCAGGTCACTGATTTGATTTACAGCGATGCAGAGAGGAAGAAAATGGTACCGCAGAATTTTAAAGGCTTGACAAATGTGACCTTCGACATTCGATAGCGGATCGACAACTATTTTGCGCATGTGCAAAAAGGTACTAAGGCTGGATCTGCTTCGGCATCGGTTTGACAGTTATTTCGCACATGCGGGGGTGGGGGAACACGTAGGCTGGTTGGATAGTTTATGTAAAGTAAACTTAGAGTATTTTCCTCCTCTGCGGTCTGACAGAGAAACCCCTGCTTTGGCGAAGTTTTCGTTCTTAACATACATATTCTTTGTCCATAATATCTCCTTTTAACTTGGGAAGAATGTAAAGTATTTTCTTTCTTCTTCCCACACGCCTTTATTTTGTAATTAGTAGTACGTCCGGCTAGTAATCGATGGTCCGAAGTTCGAATCCAGGGCAGGGCACTACATAATTTTCATGTTTCCATCTTTGAAAAATTCTACGATTCTATTCTGGCGCCCAAATTAAAATGTTCTGGACATTAATTCTCTACTTCCAGAATTTGGTGAGTGGGTTTCCCATCCTCAGCCGCTCTTTAAGTTGAGGTATGTAAGGTATTTTTTCACTCTTCTGGTGTAATTGGAAAGCACGTCCAACTAGCAAAAGGAAGGTCCAGAGTTCGAATCCCAAGAAGAGCATAGCTTATTTTCCAGTTTCCTGATTTGACAAATCTAATCGCTCTACAATGAATTCATATATATTTGCATATTAATGTTTATTTAAAATTTTTCGAAATTTTTTATGCCATGAAATGAATTAAAATATCAAAGAAAGAAAAATGGGTTAGATGTAGTAGCAAATACCTTCATCTGCGACTCACCTACCCACGTATTGTTCGCACCTACATACTTGGTGACGATGACATCATCAGAACTAGCATAATCGAATTCATACATGTAGACTGATACACTGGAGTGAAGTGACAACAAATTCACTAATTTTACAGATGGTGCCTTCAGATCGATGTCGCTGATAATCTGGAAAACAGATAGATTCTTTCTTTTATTCTTTTAATTTATAGCATTGAAAAATAAAAATAAAAGGTCTTGTGATAATAACTAAATTGCTTTTAAAATTAAAGCATATAAGGATGGTTACATGCTTAAATTATATTTGCATTACATTTATGCTGTGCCTTATGGTAATATCAAATATAATTGGAAATTAATTCTAACTCGAAAATTTACGATGAAGGTAAATTATAAGTAAAAAGTTACATGTAATTAGTTTACAGTTTGAAATAATTAGTTTACTTAAAATTTCAAGTTTGAAATAATTTTCAGTACACAAAAAATACTCTTTGATTTAAAAAAGAAAGAAAATATACCAAGAAGCGTAATGAAAACTGAGAATAGAGAAATTACGGAGGCACTCTTGAAAGAGCCCATCTTATAGGGTCAAGTTGCACCTTGTTAAAAATATCTGAGAGTGTTTTGAGAAAATGAACTAATTATATACATAATGTGGCACTGATTTCATATGCATATTACATCACTGATTGTAACATATCATGGCATCGTGTTGTCTCGTTTCACTGAAATATTACACTGCTATGATAATAGTAGACCACTATGTTTGGCTATTATAGGAAACCGAGCACATTGCGTAGCAAAGATGAATGTTGCACTCAACTGCAATGAGAATTTCCGCCATAAACCTTTCTTCAGATAATCATTCCTGTTGGTGAAGAAGTGTTGTATATCGTAATAAAGGCAGATTATACATGCCTTGATTGCGGTGTCTTTAATATGTGGCTCGTCCATTTTCCTACACGTATGCACGGACCACTAACAAGAAAATAGAACTGCGTTTGTCCCTTGCATTATTTGTTGATTATCTGGATCAAGGATATAACGTAGTAATAATTTATGACGCGACAGTAATCTATACTATTATTGCATCTGTTAAAATTAGACTTACTTTTTAATTCAGAATATATTTATTAGGAAAAAAAAATCTGTTCGTAAACACAAATGTCTGGCTTTTGGCCCTTTAGCCATGATCCATCTTGCTTCCTAGTACTTTTGGTTTACAAAATTTAAACTAGAAATTCAGTACACTTATTTAGATGTTTTTCGGTCTAAGTTGTCCAGAGTCATAAATAGAACACAGTATAGAATTCTCGAATCTAATATAAAAAAGATTAATATTAAGACAATCGTGCTCAATCAAAAGACCGAGTGATGCCACAGTTATAGCACTTAGAGGAACAGAGATACTGTACTTTTTACCCAGAAAACTTTGCCAAGCATTTCTCCTAACTTTTATGCAAAAATTTGAATCTTGATCAATTCCATGTTTATTAGTTTTCATGAATTTATTAGTATTCCAAGTTTATTATTTCTTTGGCAGAACGAAAATTCATAAAACTTTCGTGTTTTTGGAGGGCAGTAGTTTCGTTTTCGCTGAGAAATCCATACTCTTGTTTTCCTGTACTCCTCAATATACTGGCATCCACTGTCGTGCTAATGAGTAGGTAAGAATATCCAAAAGACGTCGGGATTCATAAATACAACTGCTGGCCATTAAAATTGGAACATCATGAAGCAAAGCAAATAGAAAATGATATTTATTGTATGTAAATAGTATGGCATGAAGACAAAATGATTAAGTTTTTAAGCAATTTGGAATTTACAAGGGTGTGAAATTAATAGAAACAACTGCCATACTAGACAGCTAAAACGGCCCTTACCTACTTAGGCATGGATTCGAACTCGGCGACAGAAACGAGCAACACATTCCACATCACTTCAAGTTTATGCTACACTTCATCAGCCGTGTTAGCTGGAGAGGGCTGATGGGCCTGTCTCTCGGCACCCCATGTAATCGGGTACCCTGTGTATCGAGGAAGGTCAGAACACGGCGTGCAATATGTGGTCTTGCATTATCTTATTGGAAGATGGTGTTTCGCAGGTCTCGAAGATGGAGCACAACAACTGGACGTAAGATGTCAGAAATATACCGATCTGAGTTCAAATTACCGTCGATCCGAACTAGAGATGTGCGGTCGTGTACCCAAGGGTTGTTCAAATCATCGCACTAGGTACAGTGCCCCTATGCCGATATCGAATGCAAATGGGAGACGTGACGAGCCTCCAGACACGTATATGGTTATCAAAATACTGCAAGCAAAACTGGGACTCGTCTGAAAAGACGACATTTTGCCATTCCTGTATCCAGCTTTGTCGTTCGTTCCACCATAGTCGCGTCTTTCTCTATGCTGCAGTGTCAAGGAAAGCCAAAGGAATGGCCGTAATGCTGATGGGTCACGCTGCTAGAAACGTCGACACACCGTACGATCAGATATTGGGTGTGCTGCAAACATGCCCATTTCCTGATTAATGGTCCGTGATGTGGTTATACGGTTTTGTAGAGCCGACCTCAGAGTATGTCTGTCCTCTCGGGCGTTAGTAATGGGAGGACACTGAGATCCTGCATGCTGTTCAGTATGACCCTCAACAACCGATTGATTTCATATTCGCATCACATTCGTTTGAAATCGACCAGTGCAATGGGCGATATCTTGGAATGATAATCCACACTCTCGATAGGGAACGATCCTGCCTCTATCGAATTCTGACACTTGTTGGTAAGCATTTCTTATTATTATTACAGGCGTAATACGATATTCTGAGAAAAGTGCGACCTTACAAAAAGCTTTCCGAGTGAGAAATCCATTATACAACTTTTCTTTTATGCAGTTCTTCCGATGTCGTCTCTCCCTCCTGTGTTGTCTAAATGCGCTGAAATACTAATCATTTGCATATCCCAACCTCTTCTTCCTTTCACATGGTTTTGACATTCGTCAGATCATTCCTTTCTGGTGTTGCAATTTTAATGGCCAGCAGTGTATGTTTTCAGCTGTAAGTGTGGTTTCTGGAAAGATTCCGAAAGACAGACCTAGAGTGCGACAGGATGATAGCTTTTGAGAAAAAGATTTTAGGTAGCAAAGCTGTCGCAAGTCCATATGAATTGCTCTCTATTCACTATCAAAACTAGTGGTGTTAACACCAATTGGAAATCAAAGAAAATCAACCTTTTTCAAAGAAAAAAAAATTTGCTATGTAAACAAGCTTCAGCACCTATATTCCTGCTTTTCACTGAACAGTCAGGATATACGCGAGTCCACTGATTCTCTGGGTAACGACCTTCATTTCAAATACAAATAAATGTGTAGTTTATTTGTATTTGAAGTGCACAGACCCCTATGTCTGGCTATCATGGGAAACCTATGGTGGTAGCATATTGCGTAGCAAAGATGAATGATGTCTGCGAAGCCATACATCTCATTAATTTTCGGACGAATTCAAGATTCCTTTGGATGTTACTGAGATCTAAGGGTACCACGGCTTCATTAACAATCATGTTCTCCAGGAGTATCGAGAAGTTTTACAATAGAATAGATAATTTTGCAACAGTAATTGATTCCATACTGTGTCTTTATGTGTCTGGTATTCCTGAAACTATGTTCCAGTAGTCATTATGAGGGAGTCTCCGAGGCTTCTCTAGCAGACTTACAGCAGTTTTCCAAAATTCGTGTTCAACTGAGTTTAGTTTAATTGGCCAACTGCATGGTAAAAGTAGGTAACTGGTCCGGTAATCAAGCCAAGAGATTGGTTTCGTATTATTTCCAAGCCAATGACCGTTTTCGCTGAAGCAATTATAAGAGTTTCATTACAGATGTTTAGAAGAAATTTAATGCATATCTTCTAAGTAGCAATGAGAGTTAGGAAAATGTATGAACATTCAAATGGCTCTGTTTTGAATATCAATTTATATATATCTGCAATGACACATATACTAGCAGTCACAAAGGTTTGAAATTGTTCTTCTTGTTTATCTTTTAGATGTTCACATGGAAGAAAACTTTATTACAATTCTAGGTATGGTTTAAAAACTGACATCATTAATCGGATATGTCAGCAAAATGATGGAGATTTTCTTTAGATAGGTAAAAGTTAACAAAAAGTCCACTATGAGTCCACTATGAATTTTCTTTACTTTGCGTATCTATTTGTAAATTAATACATTCTGTATACAAGCTCAAGTACAATGAAATGCAGTTGTTCGTTCTGAAATCTTGAAATCTGGTCTCAAACTCTTAACCTAAAATGGCAAACAATGCCGCGCACCTTTTCTCCTTCAACTAATTTTGTCTAGACAGAGATCCAGAATGAAGTAAACTGCTGCTCATAATGTGAGATTTTCAGAATTTCAATTTATTTTCGAATGTTGTCCCAGTATGAAATATTCTTTGCATCTGCTTTTGGTTTTCGGAATTATGTCCAGTTCATTTAAGCAAGCAATCACATCCATAAAAATATTCCATATATTTGTCTAGCAAGCTGAGGATTGCACGCGCTCTGTTCTCCATACAAAACCATTTCTTAACTGCATACAAAATTCCCAATTCATCAACTGATCTTTTGATTTTTAATTCAGTAATAAGCATCCAAATAAATTTCTCATTTTTGTATATTACTAGCGGTCAATCCCACCAGGTGAGCGGGGGAGAGGGTGCGACCAAAGCTAAATTTATAAGTTCTAATATATAGTGAAATAGTGAAAGGAAGGTTTGCGTTAATAGATTAAAAATGATACAATTTAAATTGTGTTTGATGGAGCATTGCACCTCAAAAAGCATGTTTTTCAAATTTTTTTGATCCCCGCCCACTTAAAAAAATTTTTAATACCTTCTATGAATTCACTTCACTATTTATTATAAAAATACGTAAGAAAATAAAAAAATAATGGTAAGATTAAGTTGCTTATACATTTATGAATTTAACAATAAATACTTGTACACAGACATATTTCATGACAGAAAGAATAGGAATACGAACTAAACCTGTAACAAAATAAGTTACTGCTGTAAACCCGATTTTTACTAAATAAGGTATAGAGACTACAACAAAGTTCTTTTAGAATATTCTGTATACTAAAATAAAGTAGCAAAAACTGCTGGTATTTTATTGGATTAAATTTAAGTTTGAAGTATTCATTTGTTCTTAATTAATTCTTCTAAATTCAGAGATGCTTTTGAAATTTCATAAGAAAATTGTTCCTAAAGGCTCAGGTATACTCATTTTCAAAATTATTAGAAATCTCTTTTGATGTCCAGTTCCATAGCTTTCATAAACAATAGTGAAGTTTACTTCGTCATTTATTTCTATAGGTGAAAAATTTGTAAACTCTTGCAGTCTCGAATTTCTTTCATGCATCGGAAACTTTTCCGCAAACACAGATATTTAATTTTTGTTTTCATTAGATTCAAATTATCACCCTGGAGCTGAGGGTTCAATTCACTATGAATTTATTAAAAATATGTCAAAGGTCTGTTATATATGTTTAATTTTATCAAGTCAGTTATTGAAGCCGCTTTTTCGTCTTTCAAAATCTCAAGAAATAAGTTGGAAAACTTGGAAACGTGCATCTAACAGGTTGGATACATGATAATGCAGTAGTTAAAGGTACTTTCCTTCTACGGAAGTGCAAGACATGCCTTTAAAAATTCAGGTACAGCCACTGCTTTTCTACATACGCCTATATGCTCTTGGCATTGACGAGCCATGTAAACCTGCTTCTAATAAAAACAGGTAGTAAATCAAGACATGAAATGGATCATGTTATGATTGCAGCTATCAGATGTGAGTATATTTCCTAAAAAGTAACCTACGGTACTTTCGAGTACTACAATGTAAACACTCTTTTTTTTTAAGGTCCTCCGGCTATACCTATGTTACTCCTCTCCTCTAACTTAGAGTTTCAGTTGTCACCTTAGAGCGCTTCAGTGCCCACTGGAAGTACCGACCACTTTGTGAATCTTTGAAATGTGACTTTGTGAATTAAATGTGACTTTGTGAATTTAAGGGTCTTTATATGACGCGCAAAACAGTTTTACCTCTTTTGTAATAGAAATCTACAAATGCGGAATTCAGTAGCTGCTTGCTTAAGTATTTGACGAAATCAAAGTGCTTACACAGTAGCCTTATATATGGGAGAGTTTTAATGGCAGAATATTAAAATTCATTGTTGTAACGGGAAAGCTTTACTGACCCCTACACTTTTCTGTATGCTTGACAATTATAATCGTGCTCTAGCTGTTTTAATTGATCATTAATGCTACCGTAAAAGGTCATACAAAAAAAAAAAATACTTCAAAAGTCGATCAAAAAGTAAAGCATAATCTATTGTAGCTCGGTAATGGTAAACACTAGAAAAATGAAATTTTATAAATAGAAATATTGATTAATTTTTCCTTTGGATATGTCACTCAATATATGATCCATTTGCTTTACTGCAATGCAATCATCTTTTTTTTTTTTTTTTTTTTTTTTTTTTTTCTTCCCCACGACACGAATGCACATTACAAGATTACCACACGACTACCTTTTACTCTCAGGTTCATCACATGTCGGGTTTTATCATATGACTCTACGAAAACAATATAAACAATACTAACTTTGCAGAAGATTATCACATACATTCTTCCTTATCCTTACATCATCTCTGTTGTTGAAAGCCGTGGAAACCAGAAAACATACATTTTTTCGTATCCTCGTTGAATTAGCGCTAAAGCGGAACTTTTGACATATCAGTATGCTCTATGATCTCATTGTGATGCAGTTATCATTTTGATTAAGTTTCTCTATAACTGATGCATTTTTTTCAGTTGTAACGGAAGAAGATCTACCTCACCGGGCTGGTCCTATGTTTGCAATTACCAACCACACCAGAACCTCAAAAGTCATCGACACACATACTATTTATATTTATCGTTTATTCCCATAGACTAGAAACAGCTTATTAAGACTAGATGTTTCTGAGCTATTTCCATATTTGTAGAAGAATTCGATTACTGCACGTTAACCTAGTACGATATAAGGCTAATCAGTCATGGTGGCTTACTTGCAATAGTAACAAATAAAAATTGGGTATAGGTTAAGCGGCAAAGGACTCTAAAGTCATTAGGTTATTTTGAAACAGAAGACATAAAAAATGAGCAATGCCCTTGCTGGAACTCAAATCCCGAGTGTGCTACCACTATACCAGGAAGGCAAACTGGAAGGAGAGAGAAAATATCTTACAGGACAATAGCTCCTATCTATTAAATTTTATTTATCTAGTGCTTACTATTACTAGCTACACTAGTAATAGTAAGAAGTTACGTTTTGACTAATCTTTGTACATGCTACATCATTATAATCATTATAAAAATATCTTGCACTTTTTGTAACATACCTATTGCAATGAAAACGACGATATATGTGTAAGGCTTATTTTAATTAGTACATTACCTCTTATGGAAAAGTCTTTTCTTTACTCTTACTGTTTCGTTTACTTCACCAGAATTTATAAATACGACTTTTCCACAAGAGGTAATGTACTAATTAAATATAATACTTTAATTAGTGCGTTATCTGTTATAGAAAAGTCTTGTCTTTACACTAGAATTTATAAATAAGAGAAGTTTTAAATCGGATTAAGAGTTCTAAGTTTAAGAGAGAAAATTATCAACTTCAGTCAGTCGTAGTAAAGTTGTGTTGTGTGATCTATATTTCTACCAGTTGGTGAGTTTCCCTTGCGACCGAATGTTAAATAGTCACACAATTAGCAGAACAAGGTACAGGATCTAAACTTAAACTTTTGAATTATCCATAATTTAACGCATTGTTATCATTTTCCCCCACGAGAAGCAGAAACAAATATGTGTTAGCTAATTTTGTTTTGTATTTCGAGATGAAGTCAACAATAAATTATTATGCAGTTACGTTATTTCTGCTATATTTACTCAGTGCCTTGTTCTATTAGTTAACATGGGACAAATATTTATCTAACAATCTAGAAGGTTAGACTAGAATTTAGATTAAGCTCCAAAACAGTCAAATCGTATATGTGTGTCTCATACTATAATTTGAAAAATTCTTGTGAATATTTATATGACATTAAAATTTTCATTAGGAACGTAATTCGAGGCCCTTTCTTGGCACTGCGATTTTATATTTATATGATTTTCGAATTTTATACTAAAACATTATCAGAGGGAATATTTGAGACATCAAATTATTTATTGGGTGGGGTGGGGATCTTTTTTCCTCGATTTCCAGTCGGTACTCAATAATTAAACAAATACATAAGCTTACTTTTCCCAGCGTCCTGATATCTGGAAGTGCTGATGAAGGGTTTTCGTAGTAAGGCATGGAGCCGTTGCTCATCTCATGTTGCTGTTGTCTTCGCTTCTTATGATGAGAAGTAGTACCATGTCTATATACGTACTCTGTGTACACAGCATGCAATAAAACGTCGGCTGTTATTTCAGACATGAAATCTTTCCGGACTAAATGCAGCAAGTACTTCCTGAGTAGATCTTTAGTGAAAGGGATTGAAGATGGATCTTTGTCTTGGTAGGCTAGAATAAGACAGTCCTGCGGCAATGATTATTCTATCAGCTAAATAAAAAAATAGCATGAATACTATAAAATTTAAAAAAAGAAAAAATTTAGTTTCTAAGATGTGTCTTATTTTTGTACTTTTGAATACTAAAGCTTTCTTGAAGTAAACGCTTCTGAAAGTTTGATTGCTATTGATTTAAACTAATCACTGCGTATGTAAAATATCTTAAGTAATGCTTTTTAAATTTTTAACAGTTTCCCATCCTTATCAATGAGATGTAAGTAATTTCTAAATTTTATCTTCATTCGCATTTAAACAATATTTTCACGGATCTTTGTTTAAAACGTAATTTAAAATCTAGAGTTTCTAATAAAATTGTGTAACTCGAAAACCTTTACTGATTTTATTTATTTAATCATTTTGCTTTTTATTGACGATAAGAAGTAAACAAATGGTAAAATTTTAACATATTCATACCATTTTCTTGCTTCACAAATTGCTTGCAGCAATTTGTAATTGTGAGACGTCGGGAGTTTTATAAAAATACTAGCTGTAATACCTCTAATGAGTTTTGATTTCAGCAGCCAGCTGAGCATGTTCAGGAAGCTGTGTATTATTAACTAAAGTAAAACCACAATCAGACGCAATCAATTCTGAGCATGATAACTCTACCCAGTATAAACATTCTGCCAAAAACTGATCTTGTCTGAAACTGAGATGTTTTCTGAGTTTTGGTCTTTGTTTATTAACTTAAACATGGCCTGACTGAAATTTATTGCTACAGTTATAGAGTGTAACTGAAGTAAAATTAGACTTAAAAAAATTGCTCTAACATGGATGATTTTATTTCTCAAACAAATAAATCCTATGCATGTATTTTGATATTGGCATGATGGTTATGGCATTTGTTGTCAGATAATGTTAAGAAGTAATTTTCAATACAAGTTGCCTTGATTATCTCAACATAGTGTAGCAAAAAATCTGATTTTCAGACGCCACAAAAACAGTTGCATATCCTTTAAAGCGTAAAAATTTGTGGACATTTCTTCAAAGGAAAAAATACGTTTTCTAAACTTACATTTGGAATGTGAAGTCACCAGATTTAGTCGACATCATTTTCCCAAACGAAAGCACTAAATTGAAGTGAAATAAAAACAGACATAATAATAAAACCTCTAGCTTTCCCTTGTTAAAAATTCTGATATCAGCAATTATTTTCATTTTATTCTCTAAAGTAAATATGTTATATATATTTTTTTAAGTAATCTGAAAACTCTTACATTTTAACACTTAAAGAGGAACATTTGGAACGTTAAAAAATATTAAAAGCTTTATTTGAAAAACTTGTAATCTGATTTTCGTATGAAAATTATGTTTAATATTTGAAATAGTTTTAAGTTGAACAATCACGAGAGGCTTAAATGGTGTATGTATATATAAATTTCAGTGACATAATTTTAGTTGAAGAAAATAAAATTATATCAGACTATCTTTCTAAGCTTTTTGTTAAAGTTTATTTTAATAACAACAAACATAACAACCTTTTAGAGCACTCTGAATGCTGATATATTTACAGGCATTTACAATTTTTTGATAAAAAAAATTAAAATAACTTTTATTAATTAAAATTAAACTCTTAAAGTGTGTGTTGACACCTGTAAGAGTCTCACATGACACGATTTCCTTCTGTTGCAGCTCATAATTCTCTCGACAATATAAGTCTTAAACAGATACCAGAAAACGGAAACACGAGTAAGTATTGGATTTCGTCTTTATTAATAAAAATCATTCATGCTTCTGTTAGTGTTAAAAAGCATAGTTTTTAGACATCCCACAAGAACAAGCCTGAAATATGTGATATGTAATGCTTGTGCCTTCATTTCAATCCAATTCCTAACTACGAGTGCAAATTTCGAATCAAAAGCACAAACATACATACATACATTTATACCTACACGTACGACATGTAACAATCTCGCATTTTAATACAGAAAATGTTAATATATAGATAACTTAACTATCAGTTAAATAATGTATTTTGAATGAATTCCTGTTCCTCAAAATAAATATTTTGATATTTCTTATTTTACATTGTTTGCTGCTTAAAATTCCCACTGCGTATGTTTAATCTTGATCATATACATTTCAAACATCAGATACTACTTTCTATTATTATTTTAAGGTATTAGTTTTTAACTTTTAACCAACTTTTTCATGTTTTTACGTCATATTTTTTCATGTTTACGTTTATTAAACTTTTTTACGTTGTCAGCACCGATATTATATATATATAAGATATAGATAGATAGCTAGATAGATATAAGATAGAACTTATTTTGCTTAACAGGCAGGACCCACTAGAAAAAAAAAACAAGCTCTGATGGATCACGAAAACTTCTGATGTACTGTTTTCTTTATTACATAATTATACATAGCTATTTATAATTACTATTAAATTTATAATTATCAGATTGTTCTTAATAGTTAAGGTAATAACTTTATTGTGGCGCAAACGTCCCTGATTATTTTCTTGAAATTTACGGAATTTTGTAGTGCAAACATTAAATTTTTCCGCAAATGTTCAGTATACTACGAATATTAAAATTTTCTTATTCTTTTTTATCCCTATTTAAATTATACATTTGTTTTTCAGCATTTAAATAAATTTAATACGACTTTATACATGTATAAATGTCATGTGTCTTTAATATTAGCATCTAAATACTGAAAATAATGCTTGAATATTAGTATACTAATGTTCAATATTAATAATTTGCAACGGTCTAGTTTATTGATTAAAACTTAGCATAATACAGATTATCTTACATTTAACACAGTTGTAGTAATATGTATTATAATAAAATTCTCTCTGATATTATATGGAAGAAATTGCAACTTCCATCGATTTTTCTTTTGAGTAAATGTCAAAGGCGAAATTTAGAAAATTGAAAGCAATGATATCTAGACGCTATAAGACACTTCTACTAACACTTTGTCATCCATACTTCGAGCTCATCCCTTGTCACTCCTACTATAATGGGAACTTTGTTGAGAGAACCTTCCTGCTGAAGCATCATTGTCGGATGTTGCGGCAAAACTTCTCCGTCTACAACAGGTGCAAATTGCAGCATCAGGGAATCTTCCAAAGTCTTCTGGAATAAATCCACATTCCCCTTAAAAGGATATTTTTAATGTTTAACATAATTTATGAAAAGTTTTTTTTTTTTTGTAACTTTTTAAATTAGTAGAAACAAAAGTACCTATTTTCGTTACCGTTTAGCAAGTACGAAACTATTTCAAAAGTGCGTTGTTTCAAGTTATACATTTATTTAGTAGTACTAATAACAAATGTAATGATACAACTAAACTTAATACTACTAATAACAAACTCCTTTACTAGTATGGAAAATGGTATTTTTAAAGAATCACTGTTAATTCATAGATTAGCAACTTGTAAGATTTATCCTAATTTTATAACAGTTATTTTAAGTTTATCTCACTTTCCTGTCACTTCCAGTTTCAGCTTACAATTCTTTACCAGAATGAGTTTTAGAATCGCGTTAAATGCAAATGAGGAGCAGTATTTAATTCGAAGTTCCACTAACTTCGAGAGAGAGAATTAGATTTCTTGAATAGCGTGCGTTTGCCTTTTGACTACGTCTCCTTAAGCTGTTAGTACGCTCGGCCGTATTACGTGTTTTTAGACAACTTCCTAGCTAATTTAATATTACGGGCCAACTCGTTTAGAAATTGTATTAGCTTCGGCTAAATATCTTTAGTTTGTCATTAGTTAAGTTCTTATTTCTTACAATTTAAGTTTAAGTTCAAGTGAAGGATTTGCTGTACGTCCTTAGAAAAGGGCCATCTGTAAATCTTTATTTGGAGCAATAAGGGGTAATAAACCTTTCGTAAATTTACGTTTCTGTTTTTGGACCTAATCGATTATTCGCTTAGTAGTTCAGTTGGTTCATCAACGCTTAGTTAATAGATGAAATGGCGGATCCCTACAAACTATACTTTAGAATCCCTGTTAACTATGAATGTTTTTCAGTCTTTCAGAAACTGAAACATTATTAAATGTAAATATATCGATATCGTTACTATTTAGTGACGAATTTTAAATTCGAGTTCTATTTAGCAACTAGTTCAGAAACCAACCATTTCAAATAAATCTGACATTGAATTAAATTTTAATGGGACATGTGAATATTTTTAATTCATTTAGATGCTGGTTGCATAAAAGTTATAAAAGTTTTAACATTTATATGCATTTACGAAATAAAAAATATGTATTTGAATCTTAAGTTTATATTTTTCTGTGCAGTGTAGGCTTCTTCAATTATTTGGAATGAATTTTTTAAAATAATTGAAACAAAAATCCATTATGATTTTTTTTAGCAAAATGAATTATTCGACCACATACGAAAATCATAGTAAACTAAAAAAGCTATACTATTTTAAATATGTTAAGAAGTTTAAAAAGGAAGCTTTTTTGTTTCAGTTTTTCTTGGGCAGGAAAGATATTATTTTACAGAAAGCTATTTCCTGTTGTCGAGTTTTAAAAAGATGAAAAGGATAGAAAAAAGAATATTCATTGCAGTTTTGATTTCCTTAAAATGAAATATTCAAACTTACATTTCAGATTTCGCAACTGTTTTTAATTTTGTTTATTTTACCTTTTATACACATTCATCTGCAATCCGGAGATCATTTTGCTTTTTTAAAACTAAATATTACATTTTAAATACTTTAAAATTTCGAAGAGTAATTATTATAATAAATAGAAATTACATTGAGTTGTTTGCAAAAATATTTTTAGAAATACATTTTTCTTTACGTGAATAAAAAAAATATCTAAAACACCTTTCTGTAATATACATATAAAAAAGCATTTAGAAATTTCAAAATTAATATTATAAATTATTAAAGTCACTCAGTGTGATGTAGGGTATTTTATGCTATTTAACCAATAAATATTATGATTTAAGCCTTTACTATACTTTCTAATTTCCGTAATCCTCACCAAAATGCAAATTAGTTGCATAGCTGAGGGTTTTGAAGTTTAGATTAGAGTTTCTGGCAACCGCGCCTTGCAGTTACTAGAGCTAGCTCTGCTTAAGTTGTATTCCGGCTTTAGCATCTTGCTAGCCGACGTTTTAAAATACGCCGAGGTAGATATCTGAGCCAGCTTAATTAGTCTATTTTATGTATAGTTTCCCGACTGCGGCATCTACATTTGAAATTTAACTTTCTGTTAGCGAACGTTCGATTGTAGCGTAAGCTGTGTCTTTTTGTGCAATTGGCATTTTGAGCTTTGATCAAATAAAAAGGTGATTTGAACCTTCTTCCGACTTTGTAATTGTTTCAAATTCACCGATAACGGACTAGCAGCCCAACAGGGTTTGCATGATTTAAGCACAAGCTTCCAGTTACATTAGATGCCTATAATGTGATACACACACACACATATACAAGGTGTGTTCGAAAAGTTCGGTGAATTTTACCATAAAAAAAGGAAACAAGCAAAATAGCTTTACTGGCCTTCAAAGTATTCGCCATTAGCAACAATACACTTTTGACATCGGGTGTACAATTGTTGGAAACTGTCTGCAAACGCTTCTTTCGGTATAACTCGAAGCACCGTTGTCACACGTTGTTGGATCTCAGTAATGTCAGAAAAGTTTTGGCCTTTCAGAACTCCTTTCAGGCGGGGAAACAGGAAGAAGTGTGCGGGAGCCAGATCTGGAGAATATGAAGGGTGATCCAAAACTGGAACGTGGTGCCTGTCGAGGAATTTGGTTACACGGATCGCAGTGAGCGCCCGGGCGTTGTCATTAGGAGAAGATTCCACTGTCCATTCCGGTACTGTGGCCGAATCCGGCGTATGCGTAGCAGCAGCCGTTTCAAAACCCCCTCGTAATATTTCGCATTGACGGTTGTAGCCGCGGGTACAAATTCACGATGGAACAAACCTTACTGTCGAAAAAGACGATCAACAACGTCTTGATCCTGGATTGTGTCAAACGACTTTTTTTTGGGAGAGGGTGACAACGTTGAACACCATGCCATGGGTTGCCGCTTGGTCTCCAGATCGTATTGATAGCACCACGACTCATCCACTGTAATTATTGTTTTAAGAATTGCGGATTTCGGTTACACATGTCGATAAAATCTCCAGACGTTTCCATCCGGTATTGCTTTTGCTCGTCTGACAGTGAGTGCGGTACAAACCGGGCGCATATCTTACGTTTATGCAAATGTTTGTGCACAATGGTGCTCACACTGTCTAGGCTTATCTACAATTCGCCAGCTATCATTCTTAAAGATAGTCTTCGATCTGCCGCAAGCATCCGTCGAACTCGTTCCATATTGTCTGGAGTTATGCTTGTTGTAGGGCGCCCCGACGCGGCTCATCTTTGAAATCGTCCTTTCCGTCTGTAAAGCGTTTAAACCACTCATAAACATATTTTTTACTCACTGCTTCCTGATCGTAAACTTTCACTAACATGTCATGTGTCTCCGTCACCGTCTTGCCTAACTTGAAGCAAAACTTTATGTTTATGCGTTGCTCCATGTCACACTGACAATCTTTCTCACACTGACTGTGTTAAACTGCCCATAGCGTGCGCTTCCTCTTATCTGTCGTAAAATGGCCGTTAGATGGCTCTAGATGATATTTCTCTCGCTACGTCTGCGTGAGTGCAAGATCCTAACCGGCGCGGTTTTTTAATTATGAGACCAATCACCGAACTTTTCGAACACCGAACCTTGTAAATGCGGAGGACTACACAGAGCTGAGAATATCGTGTGCGCGGTTCCCGCAAGTCACTGCTTCCAAGCTTTTACGATGTGTCACACGACATATTTCTGGCATCGCAGACGCAATAATTCGTTCCAGTTGACAGTGCAAAAGACATAACTTCACCACTAATATCAGGAGATTTTAGCGTTCTGCACCGTGTCTGTTGTCGAGGCCTCTCGATTTCAGAAGAACTGACGAACCAATGATTTTGCTTTTCCTCTTATATTTCCTGATGTAACGAATCAGAGAATGTAAAATTCTTGTTTTCTGTTGTCTAAGACTTGAGGATAATTCCTCATACTATCTACATGAGCTCGTTAGTTTATGCTTCCTAAAAATACGAGACTATAACGTAACTAATGCGAAACCTGAACCGAAACTTTGACGTAACTAATTCGGAACTTGAAATCAAAATTTCGAGGAATGAAATTTTGCTTCAACTGTCTTGAGGTTAAGATGCTGACGTGTCGTTTAGTCTCTACTAGCTATTTTCCATTATTCTAAAAATATAATCTCTATAAAATTGTTGCGTGCATAGCTCACCCACTATGATGATGTGCAGTTGAAAAGAATATGTGTTCCAGCAATTTATTATCAAGGAATAAAATTATGTGTGGACTTTAAGACTACGCCTGTCTTCGAGTTTCGTCTTTCTAACTTCGCAGTAAAACCACTTCAAGTTATTACCAAGCAAAGACTCATCGTCAATCTGTTTTTTCCAAGTCATTCTATTACAATAACATTTTGAGTTCAAGTTCCGAATAAGTTAACTCAAAGGTTCGGTTTAGGTTCATTAGTTACATTATCAGCTTTATTAAGCCATATGTATGGATTGATCTAGAAATGACGCAGTCGAGAGAAATTTTTATGCACTGCAGATGCTAGGAGGGGACCATATGAAAATCTAGAGAAGAAATTTAAAGAGCTATTGCTAATTAAGTTAGTAATTTATTAGCTTATATATACTATATATTAGCAATTTATTAGCTTAGAAAAATAAGTAAGTTGAAATATTAACTTTAATTTGGCATACCCCTTAACTCTCCTTTCTAAATTAGAAAGATTAGTTAAATTAACTATTTTCACTCTTTAAAAATAGTAACATTTGCAATAAATTTCTTTAAATTGCTTCATTACAAAACTAATCCATGTCATATAATTCTTACATAATGCTAGTGACGCAGGTATTCACATAATGCTTCAGCCAATAATAATGTCGAAATTTGTGAAATGAATTTTAAACAACCAATCAAAATGGAATTGAACTCAAACTGAATCATTCTTAATCCAGACCTTCGAAATACAATCTGTGCAGTCCTTCTTTGTTTCTCTTTCTCTGTATTTCCAACTTACTGTAGCAGCTTATCTTTTCTCCATTGAAATTAATTATAAAGTTTTAAAAAGTATAAATGTAATTGTTCAAGAAAGGTGCTATGTTTAGCTGTGTTTTATGAAAAATAAACAATTCAACAGTCTATGACGCAGCTACATCTTCATGCATTCTCATCATCAACATCTACATTTTTATACATACGTACATACATACAGTTATAAAATATATGTATTTTTCTGTGAAGAGATTCTTCCTTACTTTTTCAAAATCGAGTGAAGTTTTGCTAGTATTCTGTTAACATTTCATTTCGGCTGTTACTCATATTTTAGTCTACTCCAAGATCCTATTACACTAGACAAGTTTAAATCAGGTTATTGATACAGAATGAAGAATATTATTAATTTTTACACTGTTTTGTGCAATCATGCTACGATTTTAGAAAATTAAATAAATGGATGGTGACACTTACAGCATCTTCGCTCTTTTCTATGATATCTTCTGAACTGATTTTTCTCAAACAATCAAGTATGGCTGCACTCTCTTTGACCTCTGGACACTTCAATTTGCGAGCCAGTCGCTCTACATACATCCGAGGTTTTCTTTGTACTGCCCATTCTCCTATAGGACTTCCACTTTGTGCTATAGCTTTTGAAAAGAGACCTAGAAAGATGCATTTAGGAAATTCTTTTTAACTGAATGATCATTTTGTGCTAGCTTTCACATGCAGAGTAGCAATTTTTATGAAAATAATAATGCATACTATACACACCTAGCTTTTCGTAAGAAAAAATTAAGTAGCGCTTTGGAAGGACTAAAAAACAATTTAAGAGACTTACAGAGATTTCAGCTATACTCAGAATTTCAGCTTTGTATAAGTTATTTCTGTTTTTTTTTTTTTTTTTTTTTTTTTTTTTTTTTTTTTCTTTTTCTTTGGGGGGGAGGGTTGTTTGATTTTGTATTTTTGCTTCTCCCCCATTTTTCTCACTCCTTTTAAATCTTCTGAAGATGCACATTTTAGTTTTGGTAAAATTATTCTAAAATTTGATGCATTTGCTCTGTCTGGTTATCTAGAGTTTAACTAATTATGCAAGCTAACTAATTTTTCTGCAACAGTTTATGCCTGTAACTTGGAACGTTAGAAGAGTAAGAAATGTGTAAGGAGTTTTGTTTTCTATAAACTAATAGAAAAATTTGTTTTAAGTCTTGGATAGAGTTGGGATTTTGTTTTTTTGACCTTTTAGTTTAATTTATAGCTAAGAATTACAATGATACAGTGAATAGGTTGCTTGAGTTAATACTATTGTAAACATTTTTTCCTGTTTCATCATTACGTTCATTATTAGTAAGTCTCTCACATGAACCTACTAAATTTATTTGTTAAGAAATTCTGTTTTTAAGATCTACAAAGTGTTTCCCTCTTGTCAGAAGCGGTGAAAACATTTTGCACTTTCTATTATAATCTTCATGTTTCTAGGGTTCAAATAAATGCCGTTATTATCATTATCACAAACTTATTAAAATAAGAAAAGCATATTTTTTCCCTAAGAAAGAATATTTTAGGAGAAGTCGGAAGCTAGTCCATATACTGTATGAAGAAGCTTTAGAAGACAGAATATGTAGTTGATTTACGGGTTAACGTTTTATACCTCCTCGACAAAAATTCAAGATAAAAGTTGCTGAAAATAATAAACATATTATAAACCTTCTTTATTGAAACTTCTTATCATTAAAATCTTTGTACGTTTCTTTGCCCAAATTATAAAAATGCAAAATTTATGAATATCGTGGGGGGGGGGTCGTGTTGGATGAGATCATAAACGAGTCCTTTATCGTGTAACAATAAGTTACACATGGACATAACATATAATTTTAAGATTTTACAGAGCAAGGGTCTGATACAATCTAAACAGGTTCATCACTTGGCCTCTGCTACTCAACAAAGGGCACCATACTCTCGCTGCTAAAGTGAGTCCACCATAGTTTATAGTATCAAGAGCGGTTACATGAAGTAATTTTCCAAAGTTTTTAGATTAACGATGGCTTTAGATAACCAAGACGTTTTCACTGCAGCTGAGATAGATTGATGTCCCCCAACAACATTGCCGAGTTATCAACATAAGGAGAGAATATCATTATACAAAATATCGTGGTAGAGAAAAAAGCATGGACAAACTTCGTTCATCTAAATCATCGTGGTACAGAACATAGCTGAAGAAAATAAAATGGTGACGGAATTTTGCAATTCAAAACATCGTGGTTAATAAAATAGGCTATAAAACATTGAATGGCAAAAGCACCACAGAAAAATGGATTTTACGCATCTAACACATTCAGAATTTTATAAAAAAAATTTTGAGACATATTTTTTGCAATAGCAATGTTATTTTGATACAGTGAGCATTCACTAAGATGACCATTCGCTATTTCAGATGATTCGGGTCTTCTGTGGAGAGGGTCATTTTAGGAAGCTGATGTTTAATGAAAATAACCATCTGCACTAATCGTAATCATCTGTAATCGCAGGTGGTCTTCACTTTTTATTACTGTTTGCATTTGTTATACTTTTTAGCTAAAAAGAATAGTGATAAAACAATTTCCTAACTCTCAAGCTCTATTTAAAAACTCTTTTAAAATAAGAAAGTGTCGGAAAGGTTTCATAAAAAACCAACAATAATTTTTGCATCAATAACAGAAAAATACATTCTTCTAAGATTATTCAGAAAGTTACCATAGAATTGCGTAAAAATATAAAAGTCATGGGTTAAAACTACTGACATACAATACAAAGAAATGGATAGTTCAAAAGAAATTGATGACTAATATGGATCCGCACATTAAAAAACATCTAAAATTCATAGAGGCGGGAAAACTGTAATTTATTTATTTTTCTCCAATTAAAATGCAGTGCATCTACTCACAGCGGCTCTTCCCAAAGACAACCGCCTCTGAAAGTAACAAGCACTTCTGAAAAAATTAATTAAAATCTTTACTAAATAGCACCTTTCTAAGATGACCACATCCACGGAAGAGTAAAATCATCTGAAACCATGAAGTATCGTCTTGGAGAGGATTCGCTGCATTCAAAATAGCACTGCAGTCATAAAAAATATGTTTCACAGATTTTTGAACGTATTAAAAGCATATAATGCATTTTCTGCGGTGCTTTCTCACTCGATGTATTGTAGGCTGCTGTAGGTTTTAACTGTGATGTTTTGAAACGATAAAATCTGTCACCTTTTTATTTTCTACTATGATGTTTTATATTTTGATATTGAGAACTCGAGGTTTTCTCCTTTTTTTTTTCTCTATTACGATGTTTTCTCTTTGCGTTTTCTTCGGAACGTTTCCATCCGTGACGTTTTTGTTTACATATAAATCATGGGTTAAGGTAACCATTGGCCTGTATATATACCATAGGACAATGACATATTCGTGTATGGTATGACAGATTCACATAAAGCTGCGCCAGATATATCTGCGCATTACAACATAAATTACTTAATATTAAGTTAATTATTATTAAGCAAGCCCATAAAAAAGACCCCACTGGGATAACTGCCCACGCGACTAATATCCACACCGATGAAAGCGCACATTGATAAAAAGCCCACACTGATAGAAGCCCACATTGATAAAAAACCACACAAATATAAGCCCACGCTGATAAAAGCCCACACTGATAAAAACGCACATAATCAAAAGGGACTTATGATTTTTTAATTATTTCCATGCATTTATAAGTTTAATTATAATAAATGGAGTATTCAGATCTGAATTCTAATGTATCAAATATATCTTGTTCGTATATTTTATCACTTCTTTGTTTGTTTAATTTATTAGGTTGAAAGCAATCTTTCTACTCTCTGATTAAGTGATTAGCTATAACGTTTCGATGGTAAATCTGAAATTGCATTTTATTATTTATTTATTTAATTTTGGTATGTGTATGTGAAATTAAAAAATATTATTGTGGAGTTTCTCACATGCTATTTTTAAGGTAATATGGCTAATATTAAATATAATTATGTTTCATTATTAAAACTATTAACTTTTTAATTAAAAACACTTGAATTTTATTTTATTTCTTTTTAGTTTTTCTTTAGTTCCTTTTTAGTTTAAGAATATTAGAACAGTTAAGCACAACGAAAACTTGGCTAAGAGATATTTTATTCTTTACTTTAGACTGAGCTTATTATCAAAGTTTAAACATATTTCTCATTGAAAGCTGTTTTGAATGTAACAATTATAATTTGGCGATTTTCTAGAGATATTTTCTTTTAGATTTCTGAATAAATTAAAACTGTCAGCTGAAACCCTGTCAGAAAATGAATTCCAAATGTAACCTTTTAATTTTTCAACTACAGCAATTTGGAATAGTGTTTTTAATTTTTCTTTTATTTATTTATTTTGGGGGGGATGGAACAACTCTTAGAAGTCAACATGTCTACAAATTTAAGTACAATCCCCTCAAACTATAGTAATAAGCATGTAGCATTTTATTAGAGATTGTGAAGATGGCAGAGAACAATGCATATAATAACATCTAATAACATTTTGTCACTTTATAAATATATATTTATAGTCATCAGATCCAAAGTTCATTGTTTTTATATTCTAAGTATACATATTATATAAATTATTCATTAATAGCATTATGTATAGTAATAGAATATTACTATTAATGTTTCAAATTGAAATTTTTTAATAATTTGTCTGGCATTTGCTGTATATTTGTTCAAGACGCATGGATATCAGTTATATAACATGGAAAATACACAGAAAGCAGCTAATCTTACATAACAGCTGATTGTGAAAGAAAAATTACAGTGCTTTTAATTACGGTTATAGTGCTTTTAAATCTCCCTGTTGTAAATAGTCGTTTTCTAATTGACAATAGATTAAATTAATTCCATTATCCATTAGAAAATAATTATAGTGAATTATATCTATTGACGACATTTCTAAGAGGTCACCTTTTGAAAGACACCTGCATTTTTTGTGAACATGAACGAAAATTGCCAGCGAATATCACATTTCTAAGGCCACCATATCTACAACCAAAATCCTTTAAAACCGTGAACCGAATAATTGTTACATTAAAACAGCTTTCAATGAGAAATATGTTTGAAAACTTTGATAATAAGCTCTGTCTAAAGTAAAGAATAAAATATCTCTTAGCCAAGTTTTCATTGTTTTTAACTCTTTTAATATTCTTAAACTAAAAAGGAACTAAAGGAAAAACTAAAAGAAAATAAAATAAAATTCAAGTGTTTTTAATTAAAAAATTAATAGTTTTAATAATGAAACATAATTATATTTAATCTCAGCCATATTACCTTAAAAATATCATGTGAGAAACTCCACAATGATTTTTCATTTTCACATACACATACGAAAGTTTAAATAAGTAAATAAATAATAAAATACAATTTCAGATTTATCATAGAAATATTATAGATAATCACTTAATCAGAGAGTAGAAAGTTTGCTTTCAACCTAATAAATTAAACAAATAAAGTAGTGATAGAATATACAAACAGACATATTTGAAACATTAAAATTCAAATCTGAATACTCCATTTATTATTATTAAAATTATAAATACATAAAAATAATTAAAAAAGCATAAGTCCCTTTTGATTATGTGCGCTTTTATCAGT